AACAAGCTTTAGGAACTTGTAAACCGTCCACAGGGTGAAGGTTACACCCCTTAACGATCCAGGAGATCGTCAACTCCAATAGGTCTGGAACCATGACTGGTAGTTCGGGGATGAAGGTACAAATCCAACCTAAAAGAGATTGAACCTGCCCCAACAATAGGCCTCTACTTTATTCTGATCGTATTCATGTGTGCTTTCTAACTAACATGCAATCGGTAGGATTAACCCTAAACTTGTTTATCTATGTTGGTTGAATATTAATGCACAAATAAAACTATTATTGGCGATCACTTGAATTATAATCATATCACCCCTAAACAAGATTATTAATTATCTTATTAAGCGTTATTACAAGTACCAATTCCCTTTAAACATGCATAAAAGGCGTGATCAAGCAATAACAATAAATATCAAGCAACGTAATAATAATCAAAATAATAATTATAATCATAACAATAATAATCATGATCATAAATTATAACAATCATAATCATAAATAAAATAATAAAATTAATCATAATTAACATAATCATGTTAAAGCATAATAATAATAGCAAGATCCTAGGCATAATACTAACAAGATTAATAACAAACCCTAGCATGTCACTAAACAATAAAGATCAAATATTTAAACCTAACATGATACTAACATGAATATTAGGAAAAGAAAATATGAAGCATCATAGAAATCATAATTGATATAAGAAAATCACCCTAAATACGATACTAGGAAGATCAAAACTCCCTAACATGACACTAGAAATCATAATAACAACCTAGACATGATTTCTATATCATAATATCAATAAATCAATTAAAGCACTTACTTGGATGCCTCGTATCTCTTTCTAATAACAAAATACACATGTTAGTAACTTCAAGGAAAATATAATCAAACAATTCAATTAAATAATTGAAATAGATATTTGGGACCAAACTCTCAGAAATTAAAATCTTTCACATCTAAGGCGAAGACAACTTCGAACTTGGCTAGGTGTGTCTAGTGCTAATGTATGAGGAATTGTGTCTGTAAAAAGCTAGGCTTAGAAAGAGAGAGAGAATCAAGAATTTCTTGATGAGAGTTGGTGATTGAAAAAGGGGGGATAAGACCTCTATTTATAGAGAAAAAAGAGATTCGAAGAATAAGAAAAGAATCCAAATTCGAATCGAAATAAAACTCGATGAACAGCAGTTTTTGCGGATTTTGTTTTTATCATATCTTTTGATCTAGAAGTCCAAATAAGACATATAATATGTCGTTGGAAAGCTCTTGAAGTCTAATTTCCAACCCAATTATAATCAGATTTCTTTTGTAGATAAAAAGATATGGCCGAAATAGTAGGACGGTGTCAGTTTTGGATAGAGTTTTGTATCTCATTCATATCTTTTTCGTTATAGCTCGGATTTAATATTATAATATATCATTGGAAAGATAATTTCAAGATCTATTCAACCATATAAAATTTGGATAAAGATTACGAGGCATGAAAATAAAATCTGACTGTCTTTGAACATCTTTAAATTCGAATATAATTAGGATTTAAAAAAAGGAATTTTTTTATAAAAGGAAAGTTTTTATTTAACTCAAATTCTTTAATCTTATCTTTTCAAAAAGGATAATTAAGATCTTTTAAAAACTTATATAAGCTTCTAATTAATCCTAATTTTTTTTAGGAATAGGATTAGACCTTTGCACCCTCCACATGATCATTGGGCCGTAGGTAAGATCCGGTTTGAGCCCAGTTTAGTATTTTGGCCATAACTTCCTCATTATTCATCAGAATTGGGCTTATAATATATCGTTGGAAAGGTCTTTTCAAGCTCTATCCAACTACACTATTATTGGACCCTTATCATGGACCAAACTAAAATGGAATGCACGTTTTTCATAAATAAGGTAAGAAAAGAAATATATTCAAAAACAGAAAGAAGAGATATTTTAATAAAAACATCCTCATCACTAGACTTTTCACACTTTTGCTTTGTTCGATAATCAATGACATGAAAGGTATTCATCACTGGGTTTGGTTTTGGGGAGTCACATTTGGGTGTCTACACCCGATATGACCCGACTCAAGCATGACCCAACCCGAACCCGACCCGCATAGGTTATGGCCTTAACCCTAATTGACCTGACCCGAGTTGACCCGACCCACTCTTACAGACCAAAACTCGACTCGTTTACCCGAATTGACAACTCTATGTGGGAGTACAAGCTTATAAGTGGACATGAGATTTGATCATAGAGAGGTGGAAGAGAGAGATTGAAAAAAATAATAACAATAAATTTGAAGATCATCGTTGGAATTTGGAATGGTTTACCAATGGCTATGCTTTAAATAATACCTTTGTGATGGCTATGAGTTTGCAATATTTATGGTTTACCAATTTTTTTTTCTTTTTTTCCTTTTTTTTTTTTTACAAAGCTTAATTGATGAAATGAAAATTACTTACCTAGGAGTAAGTTTGGTAAACAACCCAATGAAGGTTTACTAGCTTCAATGGTACCAACATTATACATACAACTACAATACAACTTCCTTACATGAACTAGCCGAATCAAAAAACCAAGTAGCTAGAAGCCTTCGAGCTTGCTGAAAGAGATACAAAACTTTACCATTGTTGGCTTTGTATCCCTTATTCCATCGAACCTGAAGAATGAATGTAGCCGTAGAGACCATATAACTTATAGCAAACCACAATACGAGCCCCAAAGAACACAAATAGTCCCGAATAGTAGGTAAAAAGGGTAAGAAAATAAGAGAACCTTGGCTTGACAACACAAACTGAGTCACTTTGACAAGTAAGAGGGACTCGATATCCTTAACTGTGGATATCTTTGATCTCTCTTCTCTATGGAAGAGATCACTACCGTACTAAAAACCCCCACAAGAAACTTATGAGAGCCCCCATGTTGGAAAGCAGGGTTGAGATAAAGGTTTTTCACAGAAATGGATTGAAAATCCATTGCTAAGCTGAGATGAAGGATACCAAGGGATAACCTTCCAAAACTCTGTTGATTAGAGAAATCAAAAGAGGTAACAACACACACACACACAACAAGCTAAAATCAACCTCACAAACCCAAACAGTCCACAAGAAACCATAAACCACAAATTTACCTGAGTCCAAATGCCAAAACACTGAAAGAAGAGGCTAACACACCCCTCCTAGCTCCCCTTAACCCCTGTAAAACCACAAGAGTACAATCGACCAAACCCAAATGAAACAACAAAGGTTGCATCGAAGCGCATCGCAATTTCGGCAAAACATAATAGCAAGAAAGCCGCAAAACATACTAAACCACAAACTTAACTCCCACAAACTGAAAATAAGACTAAAACACACCAAGAAGCTAAACATGGAAATAGGCAGACTAAAATTAAAAAGGCTAAAAACCAAAGAAGAAACCCTAACCTAATCTTTAACTTTACCGTCTAATTCCGTTCAATTCGAAATTGCACACGGTAGTAGTGAAGTTAGCTCCGATTTTTTACCAAAACCGTGGTCTAACCAAATTCGATAGCCCTTAAGCAACAAATCCTAATTCAAACAAGAAACCCTAACCCTAACCTTAACCTTTATTGGTGAAATTATCAACGGCGGCGATTGGGAAAGCTTTGAAAAGGACCCTAGGTTGTCGAATCCCACAACCTTATGGTGTTGCCGATAACCAGCGACGACGGATGCGAACTGAAATTCGCTTACTTCTTCTACAAGACCTGGTTTGGTGCTTCAAAGTAGACTAAAGAAACTTTCCCCAAAAGAAGAAACCCTAACCCTAACTTTACCCCGGAAAACGAAGCGTATGGGTTAGCTTTGGGAAGAAGCGTCGTTGAACCCGACCAAAGGATTTTTAAGAATGCTCGCCGACGACCGTAGATGAGCAGCGTTGCTCTGGCCGCCGACGTCAAGTGAAACAGGGGAAAGGGGTTTTCTTTGGTTTAGAGAGAAGGCCGAGCGTTTGTTTTTTCATACGCTACCCGATTAGGATCTTAATATTTATTAGTATGGATTGGCATGAATGGCTTAATTTCAATATTGCTTATGACAGTCATTGGAAAATGACTTTCTCAATAGCACTCCGGTGGCATATATTGAGGCAGAGAAACTTTGCTGTTTTTTAATCTCAAAATGTTCAATTCTCAAGTTGTTTTAAGTAGATACATTGTAGACTATCAAAGCACTAACCACATGATGCAAGGAAAAGAAAAAGGAACTGCAATGCCAAGCAGTTCGAGCACCCTTAAAACTTGGAGCCCTCCCCCCCCCCCCACTCGGGATGGGTCAAAGTGAATACGGATGGAGCTTGGACCTCGATCAATCTGAGGAGGAATTGTTAGAAGAGATGATGGCACTTGGATCATGGGTTTTTCAAGTGAATAGAATGCAACTTCTGCATTTGCTGCTTTGTTACTTGCAGTTAGGGAAGGCTTGAAGGAGGTAGAGTTGGAAATAGATGCCCTTTCTATAAGGGTTATGCTTAACTCTGCTGAAATTTGCACTCGAAATGGCGGCAGTGCTGAAGGACATTGAAGATATCATCAAGTACTTTGATATCTTTGAAATCGAGCATGTGAAGAGGGCCAACAATTCTGTTGCACATGAGCTAGCTGTTCTTGGTCTTTCCATGGCTATTGGACGTCACTTGCACTTAGCCTGTCCAGACTCCATCAAACCTATCTACAATGAAGAGGTTGCAGCTCTTATGGCTCAGATGTTCCCTCTGCTTTTCTACAGCTTGGTTTAGCTACTTACATCTACCAGTTTTATCTAGTTTTTCAAAGGGCCATTTATTACTTATTTGTATATATTTCTAGCTTTTGTAATGGTTCTAATTCGATCTCTAATTTTGCTTTTATCTTCAGATCAGCTACTGTGAACACTAATTTAGCCTCATATTTTGCTCTCCGATTGAGGCTAAAAGTTGTAATCCGTATTAGTTAATTAATATTGTTGTCTACTTTGTGATAAAAAATAATAATAATAATAATAACACCTTTGTGAAAATTTTCCTTTATTTTATATCCAAGAGAACTGATAGTTAAAAGTTTACAAAGAAAAAAATAATAATAGTAATAATAAAAGGGGGGGGGGGGAAGGAAAGTGAGAAAATGGGCACATTCCGCTGATGGTTACAGTTACCTGATTGTATGATCTTCAATCTATTTAAAAAGATGCATACTGTAGATAACATTCACTATCTACTTGTAAACGGAAAAGCACAAAGCGGTACTCCTGAGTATTTGAATCACTGTCACTATTGAACTGAGGACCATGAATTTGCGTCAATCCAATCAAACGCTATAGGGCTCAGGAACGCATCTGGTATACCGAATGAACTGACCAAGGCCAGAGTATGAGGACGAAGTTCACTGCAGAGCTTCATCACTTCCTTCCTCACCACAGCAGCATTCTCAACAGACAGGTAGCCATAACGAAGGAATGAAGCATCTTCTTCCAAGACCACCAAAGCATACAATGTTCGTAACAACGCTAACACCTCCTGCACATTTAAAGTATGATTAATCTTGATAACATAAAGTAATAATATAGGATCTTTCAAAAGAGTCAAAACCTTAATAGCCCATTCAGTTGATTGTAATATATGCAAAAGTGGTCATGATCATGGATTTATATGTAATTTTGTATGCAAATGTTAGTAGAGTATGTATCATTGTACTCCTCCAACACCGAATTTTTGTTTTTATTCATAGATTGAAAAGTGAAAAAAATAGTAATGAAATTTGTAAACAAATGCATATAAGTAGTATTTAGGGATACTATGATACTTGCAACATCATAGACAATACTGTCATAAATGCATACAAGTATATTATCATTACCATCAGTGCACCATTCATTACTGCCTACCAAACTTGTCATAAGAATATCCAATTTAGAAGCATGCCCAAATACTTGGAAATTTATAGGACATAAACTCAATCATGACCCGATTTTGTTTCAAAAAAGAAAAAAAATGAAATAAAATAAAAAATTATGACCCGATTTGAATATGAAAAAAAAGGGTATTGAAACAGACAACTCAAACATCAGTCAGATAATTTGTTATTTAATAACAATATTAGTCACTTTTAACCCATTAACTCTTGTAATACATTAGTAATGATGCACGTGACTGTACAATGTACACATAAGGGAGCATTTTATGGTCATGCTTTGTTTCATCCTGTTTGTGGATCAATAAAGACTAGACTTGGGGCTTATTTAGCTTATATCAAGCCTACTAGTATCTTAATATTTAGCTTACTTTACATTATGCTAAAATGATAATGGGGCCATTGAAGGGCCAAGCTGTTTAGATAAAATTTGCACTGAAATAGTCTAATTCATGTGCACAGCTAGTTTATGGTTTTGGTGTCTTAATACATAATTCCTTCATTTTTTAGTTACAACATTCTATACTTCACATTCGCCAATGCATAACTTCGACCATCAAATGCATTTGTAAAAGTTATAAAAATTAAATACCAATAAACTATACCATTAAGACAAATTTAACAAGATCCCATGTGTCTATATTTTCTTTCAGGTATAAATGACGAAAAAGAAAAAAAAAAAACAGAGGAAGCACATAACTGTTAAAGAACCAAGCTACTATACATGTTGCAGTTTGAAAAAAAGGTTGAAGAATTTCCAGATATTGTCAAATTTTGCATTTTTTATACAAGAACAACCCTCTATTGGCTCTATGCAGATTTTGAATGAGTTGATGGAGTGTTAAAGTTGTGGCTCAAGTATCTCTAAGAAATGGGACAGCGAAGAAATGAAGAAGCAAAGTAGAAAGCAATAAAAATGCTGTAGCAGAGGCAGCACGTCCATGAACCTGAAGCACTTTAGAGTAGGGCTGTCTTTCGAGGCAGTAGCTGCTGGCAATTCTTTGTGGCCCGGACTTCTTAATTGACTTGGATATAAGGGAATTAAGGTTTATCAGTTAGCGAAATTACGCTTATCAATTTTGGGAATTTGTGGACTAGGGAATTGAAATATGGTTTATCAATTTGGGATCAAATTAGGGTTTATTAATTTTGGGAATTAGGATTTAAAACTTTGGGGATTCGGTAATTGAATTATGGCTTATCAAATTGGAAAATTAGGTTTGATTATTTGTGGGAATTAGGGTTCAAAAAATTAGGGAGATTTAGATTTGTGAATTTGGCGACTAAGGTTTATAAATTAGGGTTTCATAGCTAGTTTTTGTATGTAGAAATTAGAGGGAAATCATAAACATGAGACTGTAAATTGAATTTTTGGACGAAAACCATTATAGGGTAGTGCTACCCAAACTTTTTAAGTATTTAGGGTAGTTTTACAAAGTTTTTTTCAAGTGGTAGTTATTTGCAAAAGTAGTCTTTTAATAGGCAATTTTTGACCATAATTCTTTTAGTTTGGGAAACAAAATACATGTTCTCATTGAAAGTCAAAAGTAGAAAAGACTACCTGAAAGAGTAAAATTGAAGAAGGCATTACGAAGTTGAATTAGTCAGCACAGGAGTAATTTCAGCTGTGGTTTGTAACGTAAGAAACACATGTCATGATCATTGTATCTGTCTCATGTGTAGTGGAGTAGGATAACTAATAATCTTCTCAATCAAGGATTCCCATGTAATGGTAGCTTGTAACAGTAACGGTTTAAATAGGGGAAGAAGGTGAGCTGATTTTGGTATATTAAAATAGTACATCCCAGTACCAAGCTCAAAAAAGTATAGGCAGGCCTGATATATGTGAGTGGTCCTTAAGTAGTTATGATAGATGATTAAATCTTTGTTCTAAGAACCTATGTTTTCCTAATAATATACAAAATAATGGAATAAACATAAATGTCCAAAGCAATCCTTTACCTTAAGTGGTCCAGCAGCAACATTAGCTTCAGCTTCAATAGAAGTAAGCAAAATCGCCTTGTCAGCAAAAGCTCTGCCCAAATCTTCCGCAAGCTGATAAGCCTGATTGGAAAATAAGATTCTTTGCATTAGAGAAAGAAAGTGATACTACATTGTGACCTGGAGAAAAAAAAATTCTTCCCCAACTGCACGGATTTTCTTAGGTTCTATCTACAATAAGTATGATCTTTATATAAGATGAGCATCCTCACCAGAGCAAAAGCATATTCTTTATTTCTTCCTTGCTTTTGATGTGCTGAAACTTCAGCTACAAAACGTTTTAACAGATCTCTCTCTCTCAGGTAGAAAATGTCAGTCTGAAAAAAAAAAAAAAAAAAACATATATTATATACGAACATATGACTTTGTTGAAAACATATCAATGAGATACAACCAACCTCTGTAAAATGAATACCTGAATCTGGCTACTTCTGAGAATAGAACCTGTCAGTTGAGCAGGAATAACAGGGGTGGGGCCGTTCATATGCTCCAACCACAATCCTTTAAATGGTCTATTTTGCTTTTGAGTAGCCAAGTATTCCCCAAACAATGCTTTACTCACCTGGACAGACGTAATAAAAGCAATTCTCAGGTCTTTAGGCCCCAACATTAAAGAGAAGCAAAGACCAATTGCTATTTGACTTGTCTTAACAATGAACCAGCAAAGGCAGAAACCAATTAGAAAGTTGTTTCAAGTGCATGAATAAAAAATCCTTAGTATCAATTATAAATGATCCATACTATAAGGCCACCCTTTTCAAAACAGTCTCATTATTTTGTGAACTTGTAGAAACAGTAAACTTGATGACGTGTACACTTCAAATTGGCCCAATTTTATTTAACTTTTTTTTTTTTTTTTAAATTTCCTTTTCTCTCTTCTCTCCCCAAGGCCAGCTATAAGGGGAGCAGCCTAAGCAACCGCTGAGGGGCCTTCTTTTGATAGGTCCTGCTTTAGTAAAATTAAGACTGTTTAGAGGTTGAAGAAGACAACTCAATTGAAGGTAAACACATAACTTATTTTTAGAGAGAGAACTTAGAAAGAGAAATAATGGGGAAATTCATTGTGGGGACCTAGATAATCAACAACCATTATCTCAAAAATTAAAGCTAAGCCCATCAAATGGTGCAAAACTTTTTTTATTATATCGCCAACTATTTTGTGTGTGGCTGGCCACACCAAACACACAAGTAACCCATGACCACATAATCCCTGACTGAAATTTCCCTGACCAAGTAACCCGTGACTGATTGAGTGAGTAGCCCCTTACTGACCAAGTAACCCCGACCATTCTTTACAAAAACATCAATATAATAAATTTATTTATATTCTTTCAGATTATACCTAGAACGTGCCAATACTTTTTAACTTGCCCTCTTTATCTCCCATCTCATATCGATCTTATGTCACCCGACAAAGTTTCAACATAGTGACTAGAAAAATGATCAAATATTTCGAATTAATAATCTAACAATGTAACGGTCAGAATATTATGTTGGTGGATTATGTATAAAATATGTTTTCTTTAATTAGGGCCCCTTTTTCATTTTTGCTTGTGCAACACCTTAGCCCAGGCACCTATTAGCCCAACCACCGTACCCTGCCCAATCACGAACCAAGCCCCTTATGTAGTCCCTGCTGCCAGCTTTACCTTTGAACTAGACTTCTGTCCACTACTTCCCAGGACACTGCTAACAACCCTCTCCTCTTCCAACTTTAACCACCATGACCAACAGCCCCACAACCATTGCCCTTTGGATCAACAAATTGTTCACAAGCCGATCGTTATCAGTGCCAATATTATTAGGAGAATTGGTAATACGCAAGCAGATCATTATTACCATTATTTCAGTTTCAGACACATACTCCAATTTCTAAATATTCATTACTTGGTTCAGAACACCGTCCACAACGAAACTCCATCACCAAAAAAAAATTACACATAAAATAAAAGCTACTGGTCAAACCAGATATCTAACATTAAGCACTGCATTTTCAGTAAAAGAGCGCCAAGAATCAAAATGTAAATAGATTACTGAGTTTTTAGCAATGTGATGGAATTTTAATCAGAAACTTTTTGAGGAAATTCATACACCAAATTTACACTATTTGACCTACAAACTGGATTGAAGAGCACCTTGGTCCCGGCCTATAAAGATAAAGGAGACGCTCAAGATTGTTCTAACTATCGAGGGATCAAGCTTATGAGCCCACACTATGAAGTTGTGGGAAAGAGTGATTGAACATAGGCAACGTTACAAGGTACGAGGTACGATTCGAAACGTGGAACGGAAACGGATACGTGGTACGTTACCATGTATGAATCCGGTACGATGGGTACGATGAGCTATATATTTTATTTTAAAAATCTAATATTGTACTTTTTCAAAAAAAAAAAAAAAAAAAATCTAATACTGTATTATTTAGTGAAATAACGTACACTCTTCTTTATGTTTAAAAAAAATACAAAAAAGTACACTCTTCATTACTTATAATGTATAATGTACTAATAGTATACTCTAGCATTATACCTATATATGGCTATATTTACTCTGTATTATTGAAATCACACATAAAAGGAGTAAAGTGTAAAGATTTAAATTTTAGAATGAGACAAGACAAGAGTAAAATAAGGATTATCTATTTAAAAAAAAAAGGAAACCCAAAAGGGACCACTTTACGTCCTTTTTTTTATCATTTTCATTCTCTGGAATCATCTTCAACCTTCTTCCATCTTCTCTGCTTTCATCCTCCACCATTATCTTCATATTTGAACAATTCTTTAACCTGAAATTGCTTAAAAATTGCTTTAAAATAAAACAAATCCCTTACATTCATAGATCTACCGAAGAAAACTCAAGTAACCAAGCTACGAAATTGGTTCGTAGAGTCCGGCGACCTGAGTCGGGACCACCGGCGAACTGAGTCGCATTTGTACTGTGTTACGGTACGAACAACTCAGGTTGCGATTCGCAGCAACGTACCGCGAACCTTGTAACGTTGAACATAGGTTGAGGGCATGCACAAGCATTTTGGACAAATGGAAGCAATCCATTTGATAAGACAAATGATGGAGTTTTATAGGGTAAAGAAGAAGGATCTTTATATGGTCTTTATTGATTTAGAGAAAGCATATGACAAGGTGGCAAGAGAGGTACGTTGGTGGGCAATGTTGAAGAAAGGTGTCCCACGAAGGTACGTGGACCTGATTAAGGATATATATCGGGATGTGTCAACAAATGTGAGGACATGTGGAGCGTTGACAAAAGATTTTCCTATTACAATCAAGGGTCTACATTAACGTTTCCTTTTTGCAACGGTCCTAGATGAAGTAACTAGACCAATTCAAGATGAAGTCCCATGGTGTATGCTATTTGCGAATGATATCGTTCTAGTGTAAGAAACTAAAGACAGGGTTAATGCCAAGTTTGAGCAATGGAGGCAAAGGTTGGAATATAGAGGGTTTAAGCTAAGTCGGAGTAAGACTATATATATGGTATGTCACTTTGGTACTCAAAGGGGGTCAAGCAATGAGGTGGTGAGTTTGGATGAAAAGGACTTGATCATGAGCGAATGTTTTAAATATCTTGGATCGATCATCCAGAAAAATGGTGACATTGATCAAGACGTGGCCCGCAGGATTAAGTCAGGGTGGCTTAAGAGGAGAGCGGCCACTGGAGTGTTATGCGACCGAAGCATTCCCTTACAGTAGAAGGGAAATTTCTATGGGTTGCAGTATAGTACAAAATGTTGGGCTTCTAAGAAGGAGCACATTAAAAAAATTAAGGTTACGGAAATGCAAATGTTCAGGTGGATGTGCAAGAACACTCTAAGAGATAGAGTAAAAAATGAGGTTATTCACAACAAGGTAGGTGTGGGAGGCATTGCGGAAACTGAGGGAAAATCGTCTGCATTGGTTTGGGCATGTAAGACAGAGACCCGAGGGTGCAACGGTACGAAGAATGGAAGAGTGGGACCATGGAGGGGTTAAACAAGGGAGAGGGAGACCGAAAATGACTTGTTGGAAGGAATTGGGAAGGATATGAAGTATATGGATGTGCATGAGGATGAGGTATTGGATCGTAAGGGATGGAGGAGGAGGATCTTTGTTGATTATTACTAGGAATAATCAAATTTGGTTCATGTAGCCGACCCCACTTATGGGATTAAGGTTTTGATTGATTGATTGACCTACAATCCGGATTCAAATAGACAACAATAACTCTAAAAAAAGATAACCATGTGGAGAGCTCAATGGTAAAGCTCCCACGTGATCTAGATCCCATATCTCCGGTTGGATGAGTTGTTCATTATTTTGTGTTCTCCTCCAACCTCCTTACAGCAGCAGTAGACTAGATAATCGCCATATAAGAAGGGGGAAAAAGGCAAAACCTGAAAGGCTGGTTAGCTCTCAGCTCTCATCACACTAAGCAAAGACTACCTGAATTAAGTAGGTTGTGTTTGTCCACAAATTGTCAACAATAACCCATAAAATGAAAAATTCATGCACAAAGCACAACGATAATTCATAGACTGACAGCTGTCAGCAGTTCATAGACTTCAAACACCTGCTTTAATTTTTAGTTCTAGGTGTGTTTGGCCAAAAATTCAGTACTACTTATTCACTTGCTATGACTACCAACTGCAATCAATTTCCACGTATGACTACCAACTGCAATCAATTTCCACCTAATGCTTAAGCTTCAGCACAAAAGCTACAGCTTGAGCATATGATGAATGAATGACCAAGAAAAGCTGAAAAATTAGATGCTACCTGCTGCATGAGAACATTATTGTCTCCTTCAAAGGTTAATTGCACATCGTACTCGCCTTTCAAGTGACCTACACGATTTTCGGTCTTCAGACCTTGGCCCCCACAGGCTTCACGGCACTCCTGGAAAAGTGACGATAAAAAATACATCAGTTTTGATGAAAAGGCAGGAAAATAGAAATTAAAACTCACCATTGCCAATATTTACCTGAAGTGTCCGCATGTTATGCCAAGTTAGCATAGCTTTTAGGGCACTTGAAACAACATGAATCGTCTTATTCATTTCAGGTGATCGTTTCACATATATAGATTTCAGATAGTTTCCGGCAAAGGACATTGCATATCTGCAATAAAAACACATGCTTGTTAGTACAAATACCAAGTAGAATCCAGAAACCATATAATTGGGCACATACCTGAAATTTATCAATCATATGTAAATGCTATGCCTAGATTATGAATTTATGAGCAAAATAATCGATTATATTTTAAGAGTAGGAAACAAGATGCACCATGATTTACTATTGCAAAATCGCTGAATGGATGACTTACGTCTTTGCAAGAAGAGGCAAGAGTCGACGCTGGTGGCTTGGATAGTCGAGCAATAAAACTTCAGGTTCATTTGGTGCCAGAGAAAAGGCTCGTCTTGACAAAGCATACCTTAAAGCTGTAGCTAGACCAATCTAATGGAAAATGCCAACATAACACAACAAAAACACGTAGAAATAAAAACAAAAAAAATAATAAAACAAATTCATTACAAGATATCAAGCATGAGGCATCAGTTACCTTTGCAACGTAAATGGAACTGACTGCAATGTTGACACGTCCAGATGTCAATGGAGCAAGAAATGCTGCAAACCTCTGAACAAAACCCAAGCACATAAAATTAGACAACTGAAGTCTGAAGATAAAATTGATTTTCCATTTCGTTTCATTGCAAAAATCAATTCAGAAAAGGAGATATCCACGGTAAAAAGGTGAAATTCAAGGGAGTATCAAAAGGCCAGCTGAACAAAAACCTGAACAGGGTCTTTAATGGCACTAAGATACTGGCCATCAGGAGAAACATCGGCAACTGAATTCAACAAATTCTCCCTAGGTATGCGAACATTATCAAACCTAAAAAATAAAAGACATATAAACATGATGCTTCAATGACTAAAACAATCACGTTCAATAAAAGCTAAATATCATCACCAATTACCAGATACGGCCATTGTCAACGCCATTTAACCCAATTTTATGACCGCAATCAGCAATACGTATATTTGGACAAACATTGCCGTCTTCATCTCTGATTTGCACTATAAACGCATGGACACCTTCATCTTTCCCATTTATATGGAGTTGTGAGAAAACAATAGCATGAGTTGCATGCTACAAAAACATTACGGAAAACGGACGTTAACATATGGTAAAAGCAATGAGAAAGAAAAGCAAGAGAGATAAGAAGAGATAGAAATCCATTCCATACTTTAGCTGCTCCTCCGATCCAGTACTTTTGAGCTGATTCACATGGAGTATTGATGATAAACTCTTTAGCATTTGGATCATAAGTCGTGACTGTTTCAATTCCTCTGACCTAACGACATCAACAACCAAGTTCAGAAATTTAAAAGTTAATGCACACGACAGTATCAAAGTAATTTAATGAAGAATATCATGCTTACATTACTTCCATGCCCCAGCTCAGTCATAGCAAAGCAACCCTTCATGCCGTAATCCTCCGTAATTTTCAGCCACTTGTCATGATGACGCTTTGTGCCAAAAAATTGGATTGCACCACCCCTGAAATCAATGAATACCTGAAGATTAATATATTCTGCTTCGGCAAGGTAAAAGCAGAGCCCAAAAACGATTTACATACATGCAACGGACTAGCGTGACTCAACACAAAATTAGGCCGAAAGGTTGTATGCTTGATTGATAAAGCTCAAAGCTTGCGAATGATAAATATGACTTTAGGCCATAACTCTCCAAGTGTTTGCTTACAAATTTCTGAATGCCTAATGCCTTAGGGACAACTACTATTTATACTACCACTACAATACAAGAGTTGGCAACAAGCCTTAATTACTAACTTTACTATTCCTTGTCTTCTACTGAGTTACCATGGTAAACTAGCTAATACTCCAAAGCTGTCCTTTTGCACCTCTGTAATAGAACGTTGCTGCCTGTTCATGTAGTGGGGGGAGGGCTCTTGTTACGGTTCTGCTCCTGCTGTCCTTGCTGTCGAGCCCTTCTCTTGTATGTGATGGTGATAGGTGGAGGTGGGTTCATTGCAATACCGCCCCCCAAAAGCGCCACCTTGTCCTCAAGGTGGAAGCTTGGGAACTTGTCATTGATTAACGCGGCATCCTCCCACGTGGACTCGAACTCGGGAAGTCCAACCCACTTGATTAGACGCTGAACCCTGCACCCCAGCCCGCCTTAGGTCTGACCTCTAGCACCTTCTCTGGTTCGACCACCAGCTCTAGTTCAGGTGTGATCTGTTCTGGAATGGTGGGCGAATTAGGAACATCCCCAATCGCTTTCTTCAGTTAGGAAACGTGGAATATGGGGTGGATACGGCACTCATCAGGTAAGGGCAATTTATATGCCACCTTCCCAACTCTTTGGACCACTTCGAAAGGCCCATAGAAACGGGCTGCCAACTTCTCATAAGGCCGCCTAGCAAGAGATTTTTGTCGGTATGGTTGAAGCTTGAGGAAGACACGATCGCCCACTTGGAATTCCACTTCTCTTCTCTTATGATCAGCGCTCTGTTTCATCACTTGTTGAGCTCTCACTAATTGCAACTTTAACTCATTGAGCATCAAATCGCGCTCTCTCAATACTTCTTCCACAGAGCATACTGCCGTTTGTCCTTCTTGCACTCTAATTATCTTGGGTGGTTCCCGCCCATACAAGGCCTGAAACGGAGTGACTAATGTGGACGAGTGGCAGGTGGTGTTGTATGAAAACTCAGCCCAAGGTAGCCACCTCGCCCAATACTTGGGTTGTCCTCCGGCGAAGCACCGCAAATAAGTTTCCAACCTCTTATTTACCACCTCGGATTGGCCATCCGTTTGTGGGTGGTAAGAGGTGCTCTTCTTGAGAGTCGTGCCTTGAACTCGAAAGAGTTCCTTCCAAAAGATGCTCACAAAAACTCGATCGTGATCCGTTACAATGCTACTCGGTATACCATGGAGTCTAACCACCTCCCTGATTAAAATTTCTGCCACCCCAAAGTGGTAAAAGGATGCTTGAGCCCAATATAATGAGCATATTTGGTGAGTCGATCGACTACCACCAAAATGGTGTCAATCCCCTTTGACTTGGGAAGACCCTCAATAAAATCCATACTTATATCTTCCCACACCCTCTCCGGAATCGGAAGAGGTTGTTGCAGCCCTCCCGCAGACCGCTGCGAATGCTTGTTGCGTTGGCATATCTCACAACCCCGAAATAATCAGCCACATCCCTTCGCATACCGGCCCAAAACCACTCCGATCCCATTTGGAGATAGGTCTTTGTCTCCCCCGTGTGACCTCCCTCCGGTGAGTCATGGTAATTTTGAAACAAAGCCCCCTTTATCGAAGAATTTTGCGGAATGACCATTCTTCCCTTGTACAATAATTTCTGATTTTCCACAGAGTACCCTACTGGCCCTTCTCCCCTTTCGACTTCCCCTTTCAATTTCTAAAGTGTTGCATCAGCGTCGATCTCCTTCTCCAACGCCTCCCAGTTCACGGCTTAACTGGCGATCAAGGACATAATTTCTCCCTCGCTAACACCTTCCCCCCTCCGGGATAGGGCGTCCGCCACCCTATTTGACACTTCGGGCTTGTATTGGAGGTCAAAATCAAAGCCAATCAATTTTCTTACCCACTTTTCATATTCGGAGCCGATTTCTCTCTGTTGAGCAATATACTTTAGGCTTTGTTGATCACTCCGGATGATGAACCTTCGACCCAAGAGGTAATGCCGCCATTTTTTAACGGCCAAACACACGGCCATCAACTCTTTCTTGTAAATCGACTTGCCACGACCAACCGGACCGAGTATTTTGCTGAAAAAGGCCACTGGTCGTCCTTCCTGCATCAAAACGGCTCCGAGGCCGAACCCCGACGCATCGGATTCCACCACGAAAACCTTCATGAAATCTGGCATGACAAGCACAGGGGCTGCTGTCACGGCGCGTTTCAGCTTTTGAAACGCCTCTTCTGCTATGTCTCACCACCAAAATTATCACGCTTAAGCTGATGCGTAAGAGGCTGCGCTATTTGCGCATACTTCCTTATGAACTTGCGATAATATCCAGTAAGGCCCAAAAATCCTCTTTAACTCTTTGAGGGATTTTAGGCTGGGCCACTCAAGCATGGACCGGACCTTATCTTGATCCACTGACACCCCTTCTCTAGATATAACATGACCCAAATATGCTATCCTCAATTTCCCAAACTCACATTTCTTCAAATTTGCATAGAGTACGTTTTCCTTGAGTATGGTCAACACTTGTCTGAAATGCTTAATGTGTTCCTCTTGATTCACACTATAGCCGAGGATGTCGTCAAAAAATACGAGAACGAACTTCCGTAAGAATGGGCGAAAGACCTCGTTCATTAGAGATTGAAAAGTAGTCGGGGCATTAGTTAGCCCAAACGGCATCACAAGAAACTCGTAGTGCCCTTCGTGGGTTCGAAAGGCGGTCTTATGAGTGTCTTCCGGCCGAACCAAAATTTGGTGATAGCCGGCCTTGAGGTCAAACTTGGAAAATACTTGTGCTCCGCTCATCAAGTAGCTCGTCAATTACCGATATCAGGTATTTGTCGGGAACGGTTTCCTTATTCAAGGCCCGATAATCGACACAAAACCGCCACGATCCGTCCTTTTTGACTAAAAGAACGGGGCTTGAAAAGGGACTAGTGGACGGTTTATTTATCCCGGCTTCAAGCATTTCGCGAATGAGCTTCTCGATTTCATCCTTTTGAAATTGCGGGTATCTATAAGGCCTAACACTCACGGGGTTGCTCCCTTCTTTAAGGATGATTGAGTGCTCATGTCCACGGTGGCAATCCTTTTGGGCCTGTTTCTTCTCCCCTTCCAAACTACTCAATTCCACCAACAAGCCCCCACTCTCCTTCCTCAGTGTTCGGATCATGGCTTTCAAGGTGATTCCCATTCGCGCCAAGCTCGGATCCCCATGGAGGACCACCTCATCACTTCCCACCATAAAACTCATCCTTTACAACTTCCAATTTGTCAGAATTTCCCCCAATTTTTCGAGCCATTGACCCCAATATCAAATCTGAATTGCCTAGCTGCAATGGCAAAAATTCCTCCTATACTTCAAAATCTTCTTTCAATTTCACTCGGACTCCACAATAAGTCCCACGCCCTTTTACGGTTTCACCATTACCTAACGAAACCCCAAAAGAGTTAGTCCCGGTGATCGGAATTCCAAGCTTTTCCCCGGTCTCCGTGGATATAAAATTGTGGGTGGCGCCGGGGTCGATCATCACCACCACCGGCGTCCCTCTTATGGTTCCTCTCAGATTCATGGTCTTCGGGTTAGTCAACCCAACCAGAGAATTCATTGAACAAGCCGTCGGTTCTACCAACTCCTCCTCTTCCGCCTCGTTCTCAATCACCTGCAACTCCCCTTATTCCTCCGTCTCTTCTTCTTCAACGAGTAACACAATCAAGCCCTTGGTCGTGCAGACGTGGTTGGGTCCCGTCCACCACCCGTCGCATCGGAAGCACAGGCCTTTGGCTTTCTTATCGGCGATTTCCCTCTCCGTCAACCGCCGTACATCGCCGCTAAATCGGGTGGTAGCTGAAGTGTTTCGAGTTGGATATTGTCGAGCAGGGTTACTGGTTGAAGCCACTGAAGAATTGAAGAGTGGGGCGTTTGGTTGGATTGGGTTGGGCTGCTTTGGGTTATGAGGGTAATGGGTTAGGCTTAGTGTTTGAGGGTTTGTGTTTGCGGTTTGGGCTGGCCAGCTCCAAACAAAGTGGATGCAGGGCTCCGATTAAAATATGAGTAGGGTTCGGGTTTGGTGAACGCCCCACCCGACTTCCTAGAGTTGTTGACCCGATTTCTTTCTTCAACTCGGATCGCCAGATCCATAGCATCTTCTAGGGACAGTGGGTTAAGTAGTCGGATCTCCACCCTTATCTCCTCCTTAAGACCGTTGATAAATTGCCCTTTCATCAAGCTTTTGGGAACATCCATCAATGGCGAAGCTTTCTCTATGAACACTCGTCTGTACTCCACGACGGTGGTGGTTTGCTCCACCGCCAATCACTGCTCGTGCAGCGTCCCTGCGTTCACCGGAGTGAGCACGCGCCCCTTCAGATCGTCCCAACCACCGAGAGGTCGGCGTCGGCTTTCCTACTGGTACCACCTCAAGGCGTCTCCGTCCATCGACACCACCGCGGCCTGCAACTTCTCCACCTCCGGGAGATGGTAGAACAAAAAGTATTGCTCGCTGCGAAGAATCCATCCATCTGGGTCATTCCCATCAAAGAGGGGCATATCAAGCTTTCGAAATTTCCAATTACCACAGTTGTCGTTGCCCTCACCTTGGTGTCGGTACTGACCACCAAATCCCGTCGCCAAATTCCCGAACTGAATGCCATTAAGGCCCCCTGTTCCAATGGGTGTCTCATTAAAATTTCCGTTTAGTTGGGGTGAGCCGTGGAAGCCACCAAGGCCCAGTGGCTGCTCCACCTCTTCATTCCCCGTGTTAGGCTGCATTGCGAATCTCATCCATGGCCTTCTCGTGTCGACTGGCCGTCATGCTGACCTGCTGGGTGATGTCCTGCCGGAAACGGTCCATTTTTCCCTCCATCGATTGCCTCACCTTATCAATGTTCTCATCTTGTTTCTTCAAGAGTGCGTGTTCTACACCGAGTTTCTCGTATATTTCTTCCACTCTTTCTTCGAGTGCCACCACTCGCTCCGGCGTCACGGTCAGCGGCGTCAGAGGCATGTCCGCTCTGATACCAACTGCAACGGACTAGCGTGACTCAACACAAAATTAGGCCGAAAGGTTGTATGTTTGATTGATAAAGCTCAAAGCTTGCGAATGATAAATATGGCTTTAGGCCATAACTCTCCAAGTGTTTGCTTACAAATTTCTGAATGCCTAATGCCTTAGGGACAACTACTATTTATACTACCACTATAATACAAGAGTTGGCAACAAGTCTTAATTACTAACTTTACTATTCCTTGTCTTCTACTGAGTTACCATGGTAAACTAGCTAATACTCCAAAGCTGTCCCGCTGCACCTCTGTAATAGACCGTTGCTGCCTGTTCATGTAGTGGGGGGAGGGCTCTTGTTACGGTTCTGCTCTTGCTGTCCTTGCTGTCGAGCCCTTCTCTTGTATGTGATGGTGATAGGTGGAGGTGGGTGCATTGCAATGCACTAAAAGGGTATATGTATGGATGTCCACTAAATAACCCGTTTTAAAAGAGTGTGGAAAGAGAAAGCACGATAGGCATATTGTAGTAGTTTAGCTTATTTCCTCAATGAAATTTCCTCGTCAAATAAAGAGAAGTTGAAAGGTAGATGGGCAGGAAGACAAAAATGATTGAACAATAGAAAACTTCAAAAATAAATAAATAAGTCTGGTGAAAGGGAGAAAGCAAGAATTGCATAATACAAACTATCAAGTTGCAAAAAGATACACATTTATTGAATGCATTGAGCTTTGGTATCTCTAAAGTTTGTTTACTTTTCGTTTGCAGATCAAATGAACCTAGCTAACAAATAATTCGATATTAGAGGATAATTTCAAACATGACATTTATGCTCAATTATTTATGTAGAGGTCGTAAACAACTTGCTTACTAGCTTGACCATAAAAATTTTCATGATTGTTAAGTTCAACACCAATTATTACTTTGGTTTAAGGATAAAGTTCAAAAAAACTTGTGAATGAGCAAGAAATGTAGACTACACTATTCAATTTGACTCATAAACACTCCAAATACATCCTACCAGGAGAAAGACGCAATTGATAATGTCGTAGTCCAAGAGGCATAATAGCATGGAAATAATGAAATGGAAATTGAAATTACATGAACCCCACATTAACAAATGCATCTACAAAGTAGTGATTAATCAAAAGACCCAGCAACCTCAAAATTATTCATCCAAAGATGTCGAAAGAAGAAAAGAATTTTTAAGCTATGTTCCAATGCTAATTTAGAATCCAAGCCCTCAAAGTCAAAATCCTTTTTCTCCAGTAAACCCTTCAAAGAGAGAAAAAGGGGATGGAGAAACTTCTTAATCAATCACACTAGATCTTAAGAGATACCCTCTACACTAACTAAAAAGTCCCATTTAAACTTGTCACACATTTTGAGGAGAGGAATGTAGTGATGTATCATTGTTTAAAATTGAATTTTTAATAAAATGAAAAGAAAACGAAACAAAACAAAAGAAAGGTAAAGTGTTTTAGTAGATTGAGTACTGTTGACTGGCATTCCAAAGACTTACTAGAATCAATAAATAAATACATTTAGCTACCAAAATCCTCTAGAATGAATAGAGCCCATCATCATTTATAATAAATTGAAAATTAAAAATGTATTGTGGTCCTTAACAAGATGCACTTCTAGAAGAGCATTTGTTCATTGGGTGCCAAAGGTAAGGCTTTCAACAAAGTGTGATTGTTAGGAGAGTGACGTGGCTTCTTATTTATTGATGCATTATGCATATGAATAAATCATGACTAATATCATATATCATCAGCTTGAGGGAGTCAGAATGCATATAACTATAGAAATTAAAAGATTTAACTAAAGTCTACTGAAGTAGGGGTATTTAACTTTCCTATTTTTTGCGTAAAGATAAATCCCAACTAGATTAAAAGTAATTAGTAAACATATAACTGTAGAAATTAAATCCCCTTCTCATCGTCTCAAGATATGAAATCCACTTTGTCGCATCAAGAAAACGATAACATTTCCACTTTTAAGAGAAAAAGTAAATTATACTGAATGATGTCTTATTATTCAATCCCCTAAAACCATTTAACAGCTAAACATCTTCCATGTTAGTATAAATGACATCAATAATGTCATCATAATAAATTCGTAAATAAACTAGCTTGAAATTCCACCTAAACTACTCCCCAAATCCAGCTGCACAGGAACTCTTAATCATCATAAAAAAAGCAAATAAATCAAACAGCCTATATCAGATGTATGTACTATCCAAGCAACCAAATTTGATGGATAAAACTGGTCAGAAAAAAGGAAAAAACTAATCCTAAAAAACCATAGCATAGCTCACAAAATTATGGAGAAGGAGACGTCTTGTTAAACAATAATTGAATGACCATCACAATCACAAAACTCTATCTGAACCATCAACTTAAGAATTTAGGGGGCAAAACCGCAAAAATCCCATACCACAGAAAGTAATGAGCCCCCAGCATAACAGCAAGGGAGTGATCATACATCTGAACAACCTCATTCAAAGCCATTCTCCTAAGCTCAATTGCCGCTCCTCCCTCCGTAATCCACCCTCTATAAACCCCATGATCAACCAAACAATGCATCCGCTTCATTGTCAACTCTCTTTGCTGTTCCATAGTCTCATTATAGTCAGGGGAAACAAAAATCCTGCTGCCTATGTTTCTTGAATTAAACACACTGCTATGAATAATCAAATTATAGAGCGAATCACGGTCTTCGATGTTGTGCATATCCAAAAGGGCTCTCATTTCTTTGGTATCAAAAGTGATCATCTCTTCTTGAGAAGCCATTAAAGTGTGAGGAAAAAGAATGAATTGTTGACTTGTAAATGGGGTTTGTGCAATGTGCTCAACTAGTATCTTAAACTACTCTATATATCAAAAGCTGATGTAAGGGGGTAGGTGAAGTATGGCTAGTAGTTGGAAGTCAGCAAATGCAAGCTCCTATTTAACAATTATCCAAAGACCTTGAACAGAAAATTATTTTTGAACATTACCAACAAAAATAAACAAATAATATATACAAGAGTGATGTGTTTAGAAGTCAGCTTGACCGAGGTACGGTTCTTAAATCACAATCAATTCTTGTTTATATCATCCCCTTTCATGTCAACATACATCAAAATCCTATATTGAATATTAATAAATTATTCATTGAAAATATTCAATAAGTATTCACAAAACTATATTTTTTCTTATATAAATTACTACTCGGTAACATTAGTCAAGTAGATTAGGTAAATAGGGTAAAATGCCAATATGTTTTACTTAAAAAAATAAAAAAAATAAAAAAAAAATACAGAGGATTAAGTAATCAATCTAATTTTAACTCCTTGACTTTCAAAGAATAATTTTGACAATTTAATTAAAAAAATAATAAAAATAAAAATTCCTAGTAAATTACAACATCCATAAAACTACAAATACCACCGCACACACAAAAAATTAAAAAATATAATAAAATAAATTACACCCTCCATCATCTTATGTCTTATTTTTTGCACAGTTTTTGATAAATATGAACATAATTTAGCGTCTTAGTATTTATTAAAAAGAATTCTTCTTAATTAAATTTTTTTTTCTGGGTAAGGATTGGCGATAATATTTATGAATTTCGCAAAAATAAAAGAAATATTACCAGAGAAAGAAATGGACACCAAGCTTAATAGCAAGGGAATGATCATAAATCGCCAAAACTTCATTCAACGCCATTTTACGAAGCTCATCTTCTTCCGAATCCCCAGTAAGCCAACCCAAAAAAACCCCACAATCACGCAAATACTCAATTCGCTTGACGGTAATCTCCCTTTGTTGTTCCATAGATTGATTATAATCAGGGCAAACAAATTTCCGATGACCGCGAATCGAGGGGTTAAAGAGATTGCTCTGAATCATGATGTTGTACAACCAGTCACGGTGGTTGATGTTGTGGGAATCCAATATAGATCGCATTTGTTTGGTATCGAAATTTGCTTCCGATTCGACGAGTTCTGGTGGAGTGTAGGAGAGGCATGGCGAAGAGGAGAGAAGATTGGGTGATGATGATGATGAAGAGAAAATTGGGTTGAGATGGCGAGTAAGGATTTTGGTTCTGAAGGTGATTTGATCTTCAGAAGACGCCATTGATGGAATTAAGGGGTGAAATTGGAATTGGAGGAGAGAGAAAAATGATGAATTAAAAAATAAAAATAACCGCGGAATGCAACAGAAATACAGAATGGGAGGTTTGGATAGGAATGCAGGGTTTTGTCAAAAAAAAAAAATAGGAATGCAGGAAATGAATGGGGTGCATATGTGAAGAATGGTTTGGTATGGTTGACTATTATTATTGTATGGGAATTTGAATTGAATACAAATAATGTTGTAGTTGGAGTAACGTATTTAACCTATAGGTAGGTATGTATGGCAGCAGGGTCATTGCGTGTTATTGGTAACGCACGCGTTAAAGTTTACAAGATGTGATTTTATTAAAGTCTGTTCTTATTTAATGAATTGAATATTTTATAAGAGAATGAAATCAGGAACTGAATTGAAATGAAATAAAATGAGAATATTTTATGAGAGAAGAAAATCAGAAACTGAATTGAATTGAATTTATTGAAAAGCTAAGCTGAAAATAGGATGAAGAGAACAGATCATAAGACAGTCGACATTGGTCCGGCCTGCTAGCCTGGTCTGATCCAATTCGAAAATATGGCAGATTTGGAAAGCCTAAAAAGAAATTTTAGTTTAAAATCTGAGTTCGGAAAAAAAATGCCCATTATATTTTTACGGGTTTGGGTACAAGAATCTAGCCTTGAAGCGGCACTTGAGACCTTCATTACACAACAAGGAAGAAATAATGTGGATATGCAAGCGAACATCCAACAACTTCAAGCACACAACAAGATAATTGAGAATCAATTGGCTCAAATTGCGCAACAAGTTGGAAGTTCATCCTCCAATCCTAGTGGTCACTTCCCAAGATCAACGGTTGTGAACCCAAAGGAGCAAGCTAAGGCCATTACTTTGAGATCGGGGAGAGGTTATGAAGGGCTGGATATGAGTGAAGAGGAGCCACAAAAGAGAGATGAGGGAGTTGTGGTGAAAAATGAGGGTGAGTTTGAAAATGAGATAGTTGATGTTGAGAGAAAGGAGCCACAAAGGAATAATGAGGGAGATGAGGAAAAGGTAGAAAATCCCTCCATGAAAGTATACAAGCCTCCCATTCCATTCCCTCATAGGATTGTTGAAAATAAATTGAATGAAAAGTTTTCTAACTTTCTTGAAGTCATGAGAGGACTACAAGTGAATATCTCCTTTCTTCATGCTATGTCACAAATGCCTACATATGCAAAATTTTTTAAGGATCTTTTATCCAACAAGAGTAGGTTTGAAGAGAGTGCAACCATCTCCCTTCCTAAAGAGGTGAGTGCAATCATTCAAACAAGCTTCCTCAAAAGCTTGGTGACCCTGGTAGTTATGCAATACCGGTGAAAATTGGAGACTTGGAGGCTATGGATGCTTTATGTGATCTTGGGGCAAGTGTGAGCTTGATGCCCTATTCTATTGCTAAGAGTTTGAAAGTTGGAGACTTAAAGCCAACAAGAATGTCTTTACAATTGGCCGACCGCACGGTTAGGCTACCTTTGGGAATTCTTGAAGATGTGCCGGTTCAAGTTGTAAGAGTATTTGTGCCATGTGATTTTGTGGTAATGGAAATGGAAGAAGATACTATGGTGCCCCTAATCTTGGGAAGACCGTTTTTGAACACCATGGGTGTTGTGATTGATATGAAGCAAGGAAGATTGACCTTGAATGTGGGAGATGAGAAAATATCATTTTCATTCCCACAAACATTGAAAAAGCCATTGTATGATGAAGTTCATAGAGTTGATACATTGGAAAGGGACTTAGAGAAGTTCCAAGAGAATTTGTTTGAAGGAGATCCTTTACAAGCTATCCTAACAGGAGGCTTAGTTGAGGAAGGTGAAGAAACAAGGGGGTATGATCTTTTGCTCAACCAACCTTTAGTCCACAATGAAAAGAAAGTGGAAGTGCTTAATGTGGAGGTAAAAGAGGAGAGTACTACGCCTCCTCACAAGGTTGAACTTAAACCCCTTCCTCCTTTACTTAAATATGCTTTTCTTGATGATAGTGAGAGTTATCCCGTTATTGTCAATGCTAAACTTGATGATACCTCTCTTGGGAAACCCCTAGTTGTTTTAAGGGAGTATAGAGGTGTCATTGGGTACAAAATTGATGACATTAAGGGGATAAGTCCTACTATATGCATGCATAAGATTTTACTTGATGATGATCATGCTTCCTCGATTGAGAACCAAAGAAGGCTCAATCCAAACATGAAGGAAGTTGTGAAAAAAGAAGTTTTAAAACTTCTTGAAGCGGGCATAATTTACCCTATCTCCGATAGTAAGTGGGTTAGCCCGGTTCAAGTTGTGCCTAAAAAAGGAGGCATACCCATCATCAAGAATGATAAGGGTTAGACCATTTCTACGAGGTCGGTCACCGGGTGGAGGATGTGTATTGATTATCGAAAATTGAATAAGTCCACCCGGAAAGACCACTTCCCACTCCCCTTCATCGATCAAATATTGGAAAGACTAGCATCACATAGTCACTATTGTTACTTGGATGGATACTCGGGATTCTTCCAAATCACAATCCAACCCGAGGATCAAGAGAAGACTACATTCACATGCCCTTTTGGCACCTTTGCTTATGTCATTTGGACTTTGTAATGCACCTTCCACATTTCAAAGGTGTAAGATGTCTATTTTTTCCGACATGCTTGAATCATCAATTGAAGTATTCATGGATGACTTTTTCTGTTTTTGGTTCATCTTTTAACATTTTCCTTTCGAATTTGATTAAAGTATTGAAAAGATGTCAAGAGGTGAACTTGGTCTTGAATTGGGATAAATGTCATTTCATGGTAGAAGAAGGAATTGTTCTTGGTCATATAATTTCTAGTAGGGGCATTGAAGTAGATTATACCAAAATTGAGGTCATTGAGCGCCTCCCACCCCCTACAAATGTGAAGGGGATAAGGAGCTTTCTTGGACACGCGGGTTTTTACCGCCGGTTCATAAAGGATTTTTCAAAAACCGCAAAGCCGCTCACTCAATTGTTGGTAAAGGATTCCCCTTTTGTGTTTACTAATGATTGTTTGCTAGCATTTGATAGGTTGAAGGAGGCATTGATTTTGGCTCCTATCATTCAACCCCCTAATTGGGAGCTTCCTTTTGAGCTTATGTGTGATGCTTCAAATTTTGCCATTGGGCCCGTTCTTGGACAAAGGAAGGATAAGAAGCTCCACGCTATCTACTAAACTAGCAAAACTTTGGATGATGCACAAAGGAATTACACAACCACGGAAAAGGAGTTTCTAGCCATTGTTCATGCAATTGAGAAGTTTAGGTCATACTTGTTGGGGTCTAAAGTCATAGTCTTCACCGACCATTAGGCCTTGAAGTACCTCTTGTCCAAGAAGGAACCAAAGCCAAGATTGATACGGTGGGTCTTGCTCTTACAAGACTATGACATTGAGATTAGGGACAAGAAGGGTGCCGAAAATGTGGTGGCCGATCATCTTTCACGGTTGCCTATCCTTGTAGGTGATCTTGATAACTTGTCAATCGACGATTCATTCCCAGATGATCAACTATTTGCTATTATCCAAGCACCGGCACCATGGTTTGCGGACATTGCAAACTACTTGTCTTGCTCTATTCTTCTTCCCGACCTCTCCTATCAACAAAAAAGGAAGTTTCTTCATGATGTTCGCCAATACTTTTGGGACGACCCCTTGCTCTTCAAACAAGGTGTTGATGGCCTTTTTAGAAGGTGTGTCCCGGATAATGAAATTAAAGATGTTATCACAATGTGTCACTCCTCACCTTGTGGAGGACATATGAGTGCCAACAAGACCTTGGCGAAAATATTGCAATGCAGTTTCTTTTGGCCAACAATGTTCAAAGATGTGTGGGGTGTGGTGAAAGCTTGTGACCGGTGTCAAAGAATCGGTAATATTTCAAAAAGAAATGAAATGCCTTTGAACAACATCCTTAAACTTGAAATTTTTTATGTATGGGGCATCGATTTTATGGGGCCTTTCCCGAGCTCTTTTGGGAACAAGTTCATTCTAGTGGTCGTCGATTACGTATCAAAGTGGGTGGAAGCGGTTGCATCTCCTACTAATGATGCTAAGGTTGTGGTCAAGCTCTTCAAAAGAGTAATTTTCCCAAGGTTTGGAGTGCCCCGGGCTGTGATTAGTGATGGAGGTTCACACTTTGCAAAACGATCCTTTCAAGCTCTCCTTGAGAAATATGGTGTGAGGCACAAGGTGTCAGTAGCTTACCACTCCCAAATAAGTGGTCAAGCTAAAATTTCAAACCGGGAGGTAAAAATGATTCTTGAGAAAACGGTGGATAGGTCTAGAAAAGATTGGTCTACAAAGCTTGATGATGCTCTATGGGCCTATCGCACCGCGTTCAAAACTCCTATTGGCACTACACCATACAATCTTGTTTATGGGAAGTCATGCCACTTGCCGGTAGAACTTGAGCATCGGGCTCATTGGGCTATCAAAACATTGAATTTCTACCTTCAAAGCGCCGGTGAGAAGAGGTTGCTTAACCTCCACGCCTTGGAAGAATTAAGAATGGATGCATATGAGAGTGCAAGGATCTACAAAGAAAAGACCAAGGCTTGGCATGACAAGCATATTAGCAAAAGGGAGTTTAAGGAAGGTGACAAGGTCCTACTATTCAATTCCCGGTTGAAGTTGTTTCCGGGTAAGCTTAAGTCAAGATGGAGTGGACCTTTCACCATTTAGAAGGTGTTTCCATATGGAGCGATAGAAATCTCAAATGACAATGGTGAACCGTTCAAAGTGAATGGCCAAAGGCTTAAGGTATACTTTGACGGTTTTGTGCATGAGGAAGCCAAGGTTGTTCACCTTGATAAGTTTGATGTTCCCTACTCTCCTTGATCCCGCAATGTTGTCAAGCTAGTGACGTTGAAAGAGCGCTTCCGGGAGGCAACCCGAGTTTCTCAACTCTCTCTCTTTCATAAACTATTATTTAATTTCCATCACTCTTACTATTACTAACTTTTCTCTCAATGTCTTTTGTAGGTGTTGATGAAAAGAAAAGTAAGAAAAGGTTTGTGGAAGTGAAGTAGTAGATAATTGTAATAATAATAATAATGGTAATGATAATAATTTTATTATTATTATGCCTTACTATTATTATTATTCTAAAAAAAAGGGGTAACGTGCAGCAACAAGTTTGCACGGACGTACAGAGCATCGCACATCCGTGCAGAGGCAGTCAGAAGCAA